ATGGAAAAAAACAACAACAAAGAGGGTGGCAGAAAGCACAGCTAGAGCAGGGAACAAGGTCTGGAGCCCAGCAATTTCAGATATGACTTTTGAGGTTTGCACAGTCCTACAGATAACCCACTAGGACTACTGGATTCTATTGGATTATTTTGCTGAATTCACACACCTACAATATTTAAATGGTAATGGAATACCCATCTCTGACAAAACTAAAAGAAAAGGGGACATAAATGAAGGACCATTTTATATCTGTATATACAAAATAGGATAGACATACAGCTACTTTGTCTTCATTGAATGAGAAGAAAGATTTGTACTAATAGTGTTTGGGCAGGATATCATGTCTGCATCTTGTACTATGAATAACTACAAAGACAACAATATTCAATGTATTAATTATTATAATTGTCCTACTACCTTTTTTGAAACTGTCTCATTACTATTTGTTTCTCAATAAAATTAATAAAAAATAAATAAAAAGAAAATGGGATAACCTGCCTTCATGGAGCATATCATCAAACTAAATCATGTGTCTTCCCCCCCACACACACAAAATTACATCTTTTGGCTGGAGAGATGGCTCAGCGGCATAAGCACCTGCCTGGTCCTGAGTTCAATCCCCGATACCAATAAATAAATAAATAAACAAATAAATAAATGATGTGTGAATGCATTTACAGAATACTGAGGTACATGCAGATGTCTGTCATCACTCCAAGATGTCCAAATTCCAACATTTCACGAAATGAAAGAATTTTGCTCCAGATATTCGCTCAGATGAAGAAACTGACTGGCCTCTTGTTACTGGCTCAGCATCACACACTTTAAAAACCAAACAAGTCTCCAGAGACTTCCTATCTAAAATTCTTTCCACGAAAGTTGAGTAAGAGATTAGGACTCAGGTCTCACCATTTTATTCCTCTCACAGATGGTGTATACACTGTCACTGCATTTCTCTTGAGGACAAGAACAGTGTACTCATCATTTTCGCTGCAGTAACTAGAACAGAGACGAGTTCCGTACTTAATTCTTACCACATTACACTTCTACAGGATAAAAGTGAGCTGTTTATAAAACATGTACAGTGGAAAGCGCTCTGACCCTCTTGCTCTCACTCTGTATATAAACTGGCACTAGCCCCTCGAGCATCTTAAGCTTTTTATCTGCTGTAGGCCTCTAGGCCAGAACACTGCAAATAAAGCTTTTGGGTGGCAACAAGAAAAGATGCACGTCTATACATGCGCTTTATCACAGTAGAAACCACTCATTCTTAAGTACATTTCTAACAAACGTGGTGATTTCACTACGAACTATTTCCCACTGTTGGTTAAAAGCATTAAGATGGACTGGATGTGGAAAGAGAAAGACAGACTCCTCATGCATGACATGGAAACCAAACTTGCCAACAGGGATATCAGAATCAATCCAAAACCCTCCTATGGTGTTCACTGGACACCTGACAAAAGCTATTTGAGTAGATGCCATCTTTTATCACAAAATTAAACTCAACCCAAGACTGATGCAATTTGTAGTTACAGTAAAACAGTGAACACTAAACAAATATGTCATTCTAATGCTATCTACTGCTACCCTCTTCATAACCTTGGGAGAAATGATAAGCTGTCTTTACTTAATCTGTTCACTCACTGTTCGTTTTATTGACAACAACATTAACATTAATAGTATCACAAAGGAAAGATCATCTAACTATAACATGAATTGCAGTTATTTAAGACATTTCATAGAGAAGTAAAATGGATTTCACTGAACTTTCCCTTCAATAATGTTAATACATTTTATAGATGTAAGGTATGATATTACTATTTGTCAACCAGTAGTAATCAGCTCCTTCAAATACAGTGTTGCTCCTCCTTTCATGTACAATGTTACCATTTGCCAATTTGAGGTAACCAGTTGCTTCAAGCGTTACTATCTGCCAACTCCTTTGGGCAGGGACCACATTTGCCAATTTTGATTTTTAAAGCATGACAGAGCACCATGGCCATCAGAGTGCTATACTTGAAACTGTCTTTCAGAGGATTTCATACATCACTAACGGGACTCCAAATACATATAGGCCATTGGGAAACTAATATCAAGAATCTTGAGCAAAGTCTAGCATAGTCACTTGATGATATGATACACAAATGAAATTAATTTTTCTATACTGTCAAAATTGTCAAGATACTGGATGGGGAGTGGATCTCAGTAGCAGAGCCCTTGCCTAGCACACACAAGGCCCAGAATTTGGTGTTTGTTTTCAGGGAACTGCTCATGTACTTTTAACTGTACATGACTTTAAGGTACTGTGGGGTGTAATTCAGTGATAGGGCACTTGCCAAGCATACTCTGGCCTTGGGTTGGATCTCCAGCGCGCGCGCGCGCACAAACACACACACACACACACACACACACACACAGAGCCAGGATTAAAATTGAATATTAAGGGCTGGGGAGATGGCTCAGTAGAATAAGTGCTTGCCTGGCAAGTGCAAGGGCCCGGGTTCAATCCCCAGTTCCACCAAAAAAAAAAAAAAAAAAAAAAATTAAATGCAATTACAACTATTCCTTCTTTAAAAGCTATATATTTGAACCAGGTGCAGCGGCACACGCCTGTAATCCTGGCCCTCAGGAGGCTAAGGCAGAAGGATCACAAATTCAAGTTCCACCTCAGTGACTTAGCAAATAGTCCCTTCTCAAAAAAAAAAAAAAAAAAAGTTGGGGATGGGTTTGATCCCCAGTACTAAGCTGCCAGGGACAAAAATCAAACCATACAGTGCCCCCTTCAAAATGAAGACTGCAGAAATTCCTTTATCTTTAAAACAAGAGATTAGCAGCTCCACTACAAGAAGAAACCTCAGCAAAACTAACTCCAAATAAGTCAAAAAGAAGAGCTTAGTTCTATCATGAAAGAGAAAGAAAATGGGAGAAGCAAAGTCTCTTCAGGCTGGGTGTGCTGGTGCACTCCTGAAATTCCAGCACTTAGGAGGCTGAGGCAGGAGGGTCTTTGCAAGTTCAAGGCCAGCCTGGACTAGACAATGAATTCAAGGCCAGCCTGAATTACATGGCAAGATCCTGTTTCAAAAAAAAAAAAAAAAAAAGTCCATTCACATGTGCAGCTGGATGCAGCAGCAGCACCTTGGGAAGCTGGGACAGGAGGGTCACTTGAGCTCCAAGCCCAAGACCAGCTTGGGCCACACAGCAAGACCTGACAGCCTTAAAGTGCTCTTAACAGGTTGTTTGTGCCCAGCAGAAGCCAAAAGTCATCCCAGTTCCCTGGCACACAGCAGGTAGATGCAGCCTGGGGACTGAACATGAGGTACCCCCCAGGTCTTATTTTTTTTTTTTTTTAATTTATTTTGTTTGAGATTGGGTGTGGTGGCACACGCCTATAATCCCATCCCTTGGGAGGCTGTAAACAGGCGGATCACTACGAGTCCGATCTAGTAGTGAGGCCCTGAACACCCTGCAGAGTCTTCCCTAAAATACCCTGTTTGGATACAGGGTCACATTGAGTTACCCAGGCTGGGCTCAAATTTGCAGTCCTCCTCCTTTAGCCTCCCAGAGTGCTTGGTTTATAGGCGTGCTAGCCAGGATAGAGGCCCCAGGCTGCTTCTTGTTATTTTAGTTTTTTGGAACTGGGAATTGAACTCAGGACCTTGTGCTTGCCAGACAGGTGTTGTGCCCCGAAGCTATATCCTTGACCCTGTAGCTTATTGTGATTTATGCAAGTTATTCTGTGATAGAAGCAGGATTAAAATTAAATTCCTATTGAAAATGAAAAAAAAAAAAACCCATACATTAGGGAAAAGGCTGAAAAAGAAACACACAGAAATATTATCAGTATTTATGTTCGGGTGACAAGACAGCTAATATTTCTCCACATGCTAAATTTTCTTAATGCGTATGCACTTATTTTACAATGAAGTAATGAACACCGAAAAGGAAAATGTCTACGGAGTAGTAAGTGCTATATTTAAACTTTTAGCCTACCAAGGAAGATAGCTTTCTACGTGATCACAAATAATAACTAAATCAAGGAATGTTTAGTGGAATATTGTGCCAGACGGACAGCTTGCCTAATCGCTTCATTGAACAGGTGTAGCAAAGAATTACAATTGCTTGCTTTCTGTTTACAAAATGCTTTGAAACGCATCACCTGTCCTTCAAAACACCTGTTGATAGGCTCTAGTTTAAGGGTTAGGAAACAGAACCAGGGAGATAACATGCTTCAATAATGGTGCCCATCACTTAGGAAGGCTTACTGCGTGCCTGCCTCTTGCCTTAAGCAGAATCTAGTGAGGAACATCCTTATTTCACAGTAGGACAACGGAAGAGGTTAAGGGACTTGCCCACAGCCACACAGCTGACAGCTCTGAGTCAAAGCCATACCTTTAAAATTCAAGTCGATTTGCAAGACCTCACAGAGCTCTTTGGTTTGAACTGGCCTAGGACCTAGCTGCCCTCTACTGCAGTTTTCCGCGGTCTAAGGCTTCTTTCTTAGTCTGGAGCTGGGATGTATCTCAGCAGTACTGTGTCTGCTTAGCGTGCAAGATAAAAGTTGCTCAGTTTAACAGCCGCACTGAGGATCCAGAAGGAAAAGTAATATGCACAGTAACACCCTAGAACTACGGCCGGCGACACCCCAAGTCCGGGGAGGAAGGCAAGGCGGTTAATGTCTAAACGACAGGGGACCTGGTTAAGTCTTACCAGGAATTTCGAGGAAACACTGTACTTCAGTACTAGGGGCAGTAACAACCACCACAAACCCAACAAAACAAGCACCTCGCACGCACTGTCTGGGGGGGCCTCCGTGGGGACCCGCCGCGGGAAAGCTCGCGCTGAAGGCTCGGGCGACCCCAGGGGAGACCGGCACCGCCTCCGTGGGGGAGGAGCCCGGGCCGCGGAGCGGCGGAGGCCCAGAGCCAGGGACGCGAGCAGACGGCTGCCAGCCCTGGCTCGGGGGCCCTGGAGGCCCGCCCCGGCGCCTGGCTACTCACGTTGGACCAGCCGGTCCCCGGAGAACGTGGAGCAGCAGCTGGTGACCAGCGCGCAGGGGACGCCCGCAGCCATGGTTGCGCCCGCGAGCCGGTGTAGCGCGCACGCTTCCGCCTTGGGCTGTACCACGGTGCCGGCGGGAGGGGGGTGACGCGACGTGAAGGGTGCGCGCGCAGCACCGAGCGGCTACCTCGCCCCCCCTCCGCTCCCGGCTTGGAGCGGGCCGGACGCGCGCGGCGTCGCCCTGGGGACGAGCGTCCCCTCCCCCCAGGATTGCGCACCTGGAGGCCGCGTCTCCGCGGGTGACCCTCCTCGGCCTTAGCCATGGCCCAGGAGACTGAAAACTTCGACCCCATCGGCTCCATCTTACTCCAGGTGGGAGATGGGCGTTCCCTGACCCTGTCCAGCCACCGCTTTGGGGAACAAGACCCGCAGCCCGCGGGGGGCTCCCCAAGTGCCCTCCGCTACCTCTCTCTCCCACGGGCCTGACACCCATTGGGCGCCGTAGGCCAGGCTGTGCTCCAGAAGCACGACCTTTCCACCTCTGGCAAAAGCGTCTTCCGAACTTGTCCTGCGGAAAGATCCATTGTATTCCGAGGCCCTGTTTGAAAATATTCTGAAAATCTGATTTCGGGGTACGAGCAGATCAGATGCGCAGGGAAGTGGTAGGAAATTTGAAGAGACACTGAAATCTAGGGAATGCTTTCCTCAGCTCCCAGTTTTTTTTGTTTTTTTTTTTTAAATCTGAATGCTCCTTGCTTAGGAACACGTGAAGAATATATTAAAGATAACTTGGATGGCAAATCAAGTTAATTTTTTGAATATAGAAGTGTGCTTGAAGAAGACTTTCTAATCTGAGGGAGAAAATATCCAGAAAGTCTGACTTTTCCTTCCTAACTCAGTCTGTAACAGTTTCAAGCTCAGTTTTTTTTCTGAAATAGTTCAGGCATTTCACAATGTGATAGCTTTTGGCTTTTTCCACATATGTCATCATTTTTAGCTTATATCTAGCTCTAGTTCACTTTCATCAGGACTCTACTCTGCCATCTCAACTGAGACTATCTTCAAATGGACTTGATTTTAATTTCTGTCAGAATTTTGACTTCTCATCTACCACCTAGGAGAAACTTTCCTAAATTCACCTTTACTGTAATATAAGGACGTGAGCTCACCAATTTCATAGGCCTTCCCATTATGAGTTGTATTTAAAATCTTCACCTTCTGTCATCTTCTCACCAGTGAGTTTAGGAAACTGCAAAGTCAGAGCTGTCAAATCCCCACAAGATTATTCTCACTGTGGCAACAGCCGCAGGTCTAGGGGCCCCATGACCACCTTCATGTTGAATTAAATCAAGGGAAACACTCAGAACTCAGGAAGTGCGACACCTACAGTTAGGGTTTGATTGTAGTGGAAAGATAGCAATTAAAATCAGTGAAGGGAAGAGATATAAAGCGTAGAGGCCCTGAGACATCTGGGACTTCTGGTTATCCCTGTGGAGCCACTAGCATCATTTCCTGCTCCTAGCATGGTAGGCACAAAGTATTGCCAGTCAGAGCCACTTAAGTCCAGAGTTTTGATTGAAGATCACTCTCTCACCGCCCTCCTCATGGCTGACCTAGCCTCCTGCAGGATGGCTCAAAATGCCCATTATAAATCACATAAGACTAGTCACCAAAGCCTCCAAAGACTTCTGTCAGGCCGGGCCTTGCTGGGGCTGAGTGGTCATCTGTCAGTGGCCAAAGGCAAGGCCAGACCTCTCTTTGTTGAGTTTAGGTTTTTACTATGCACAGCTTCTATTTAGACCCTAAACAAGTAGAACATGAGGAGAGACTCCTCCCTAGAAATAGCCAGCTTTTCCCTCAATGCACCCCATACTGAATGCAGGGACCATCCCAGTTTTCTGTGTGTTTATTTCACCAAAACTGGAACAACTCTAAGAGACCAGAATCAGGGGAGAATTTGCATGCACAGTTTCATACTTTCTTTTAAAATAGTTCTATTTCCAAGGGCCATTCCCTTGTGATTTGGAATAATAGAGAATAATATATTAAAAGCCAGAAGCTTTTTTCATTTCAGAATGGAATTCAGAGAAAACTGGTCAGATGCAGGGATGAACTTACACTAAAGATAGCTTTTGACACTGGATGGTAAAAATGGAACAGAAGAACTAAGAATAGTCATGTTGATTAGTGTCACTCTTGTTTGAAGGGGTCACTCCTGACACACTAGTGGACAGTGATTCCAGGAAGGAAGCCTACATAGTTGACCTGATTACTGAAGCTGATCTCAGTGTAGTGTAGTGTTCTTTCAGTCTGGAAAATGTATAATGAAATGTGGGAGACCTTCACTATTTCTAGTGAGCCCTGTTATTTGTGGGCATGCAAGCACCACTCAGACACATGCCACTACTATTTGGGGAAGTGATTATTTCTTTCGTTCCCTACTTTTTTTTTTTTTAAATGGAACCGGGGATTGAACTGAGTCCCTTGCGCTTGCCAGGCAAGCGCTTGCTTAATCTACTGAGCTATCTCCCTGGCCCAATTATTTCTTTCAAACAAGCTATCAATAATGAGTATTCCTAGAAGAAAGAGTACATGGCCAGGAGTCACAGTCCTGGGGTAACTTAGGGCTAATCACCTTACCTCAGTTTCCTTTTCTGTAGAATCTGTGGTTTAGATTATGTCCATTGCCTACACTAACCTGACCTAGTTTTCCCCAAAGCGACTATATGAATTCTCTTTACTGTAAAAGAATACTTCCTTTACTCTTAACCTCGGCAATCAGATTGTTTCTCTGTGTAGCAAATGTCCTTCACCATAATACACCATATTAGGTCTGGGCTGCAGAAACAGTGGGTCACCCGTTAGACCAGGAGTTCTCAAAGTACAGTCCAAGGACAAGGTCATCGGCCTCAACAGAAAGCACATTAAAAAAATGCAGATTCACAGGACTCGTTCTAGGCCACTGAGTCAGGAACTCTGCAGGTGGTGCCCAGAAGTCTGTGTTTACAAACCCTTCATATAATCCGGATGCACTAAGATTTGAGAGTTGCTACTGTGGATTATCAAATACAAACTGTAAGAAAATTTCAAAGAAAAAAATCCGATGATCAAAGCTATTATCGTATATACCACAGATCATAGTTCTAAGGGCTACATCTATTCTTTTTTTTTTTTTCTTCTTTGTATTTTAGGGAAGGGTCTATAGAGTGTTCAGGATCTCACTACTAGATCGGACTCATAGTGATTCACCTGTTTACAGCCTCCCAAGAGCTGGCTACATCTATTCTAACTCACCCTTGCAACCAGGCTATCCAGCAAATACTGTTATTATCTTCATATTATAAAAAGGAAACTAAGATGAGTATTGTAGTTCCATCTACACAGAAAATGAGAGCTAGACACTGCACAAAGAGCTTGGGATCGTCTCAGAAATCCTAACAAAACTGTTAGGCAGGCATTACTTCTAGTCCTTTTTTACAGAAGAAAGCACAGAGAGTTAACTAACCTGCCCAGGGAGTATAGCCAGGGTATGTTGATCCTTGAATAGGTTTTATCATATAGGGGACATAATTTTTTTAATTAGTAAGCTTTGTTTCTACGCTTCATTAAGATAAGGTAATATTTAAATATAGATTCATAAATGCCTGCTGGACCCAACTGTTAAACATGTGTGTGTGCAACAAAAGTTACTTGCTTTTGTAGTCCAAATAAGCTTTTAAATTCATTTCGGAAATTATGGTTTAAAAATCCAGTAGTGTGCGCTAACATCACCCTTTTGAAATATGGGAGATAAATCGGCAGTCTGATGGTTTCACTGTCTCACAGAGCCATTGGAATGATTTCCAAGGAGCATATAATATAAATATGAATGGAAACTGGGCATGGTGGCGCACACCTGTAATCCCAGCATTCAAGAAGATTGCTGCCAAGTTTGAGGCCAGCCTGGGCTATGTAGCAAGGCCCTGTCTCAAAATATCAAAAACATGGAATTAAAGATAATTTGAAGCAATAGAATGACTTAGCATGAATAAAAAGAAATTTTATGTGTCTTCTCACTATATGGAATCTGTTGTTGTGATCTTTTAAAATCTAAAGCAAGGCCGGGCTAGGTGGCGCACATCTATAATCCCAGTGCTCAGGAGGCTGAGGCAAGAGGATGGCTGAGAGTTAGAGACCAGCCTAGCCTACAAAGTGAGCTCAAGGCCTGAACTACATGGCAAGACCGTGCCTCAAAAAGCTAATCAATCTATCAATCAAATCTAGAACAAATCTTTGCTGCATTAAATCTTTCAAGGGTGCCTTGATGGGTACAGAGCTGATGGGGACCATGTAAAATTTCAATATGGTGACTAGGATCTATGTGCAGAAAGAATAGACATTTAGAACTTAATCTCTTTTCCTACCCAAGTCTGTTGTAACATCTCCTACCGTGCTTGTCTCTATTGCAATTATGCAAACAGATGGATGGGTATTAAGTGTGGAGAAGGACTATCTGGCAAGAAAGGTAATAAGCTCTTGAGAAAGATTAAGGGAAAAATTCAATTCTGTGTACATTACTGAGTATCAGTTATGCGCAGTGTGTATCCCTGGATTTTTCAATTCAGAATTAACATTGCTTCAGTGCCATCCTGTATGCCTTGCACTTTACCTACTTTCTCTTATTTTCTTTTGCCACTGTTCTGAAGTAGCTGTTATCCCATTTTTCAGATGAGAACAGTAAGCCTCTAAGAGGCGAGGTAACTATTCCAAGTTCAGTTTAGTGAACAAAAAAAGAAGCAGGAGCTGGGCATGGTGGCACATGCCAGTAACCCTATCACTCCAGAGGCTGAGGCAGGAGGGTCATTGCAAGTTCAGGACCAGCCTGGGCTACAAAATGAGCACTAGGCCAGCCTGAACTGCATAGTGAGACCCTGTCTCAAACCAAAAACAAGAAAGAAAAGAAAAGCTGGAGTCCAGTTCACATGTGTCTGCTTCTAAAGCCTATGTTGAACCATGTTCACACATCTCACCTCATTTGTACCTCACAATTCTAAGGAGTAGGGCAACTATTTCTTTCCTTGAAAAATCAAGGGTAATGTAGATAATCATGTGACTAGTAAATGTTATGACTCGCATTATGTTCAGCTATGTTTTATTGAGTTCTCACTGTATCCTGGGCCTATTAACACATTATCTCAGAATTGGTGAAGAAATATCATCCACACAGGGCAGGTGAACAATTAACCAAACAACTAACCAGCCAACCAACCAACCTTTGGGTACCCTGATGAGTAATCTAGCTCAGCTTCATGTCCTCCAGCAATTGAGAGGTAGAATTCCAGAAAGATGTGTGGTTGGCGCTACAAATACGAGAAGGGAGAAAGTACTCTGAAAGGGGAAACTCACATCTGGGGACCTAAAAAGAGTGTTGGCCTGGAGCTAACTCTTTGTATTTCCAAATGTTTTCAGTTGCTATGTTGGTTTGCAGTAGTCCTTTGGACAAAACAATGGGAAGAAGGGCTTCTTCACTCTTAGTGGCTACAAGCAGTCAGGTGAATTCAGACACCGCTCTGTGGGGCCTAATGGCCTCGAGTGACAATTTGTGCAGAGTAGAAGTGGTCAGGTGTGTCCGCCAGACTGCAGTGCCCACCACGGAGAAGATGCAAATTCTGACATTTTGAATACAGTACTTGGCTGTGTGAGAGAGCTCAGAGTACTCCGTAAGGTAGGCTGGATGAAGGTGAGTCCAGTTATCCTCACAGAGAAAAAGTAACCGTTTCAAAATGCCTTCAGCAACCCAGTCTGCAGATTGTTATTGGTGTGACTATTGCTGAAACAGGTGTTGGGTTCATAAATTTGCATAACGAAATGCTTTTCCTGTGGCAGCAGCCCATACAATAATTGGTGCCATCTGTATTTATCTGAAGTTTGGTTTCTAATATAGAGACGGAGAATCTTGTGTTTCCTCATTTCATAGAGCCCATTCGATTCTTAGGATGCCTGACACTGGAGAGATGTTTGTCATTTCTAAGAAAAATACACATTAGGGGAAAATGTGAAAATAATAACATATGTTGCTTTTTCTTCTTGGGTTGTTTGCATTTCCCACTGCATAAAGCAGAACCAAAGCCACAACACCTACAGACCCGCTTCTTCAGAGCAGTGCGTGAGGAAGAACCAGCTAAGACAGAAAACCCCAGGCCCTTCCAACACAGTTCACCATACTACTTTGAAAGGGACTGCTTCCGCTAGGTCCCGCCTTCGCTGGAAGCTTCCTGTTTTCTTACCTTATCCAATTAGTAGAAATTGGAGTCTGGCATGAACAACATCGCTGGCTCAACTGCTTTACCACTGAGTAGAAGCCATTTGACTTTTCATCTGGTCCTAATGGAGGAAGGAGGCACAGAAATTGTGGGAAAGCTTTGTTCTTTACAATCTGAGAGAAAGCTGGCATGTCCTGAGTAAAGGATGCCCTAGAAGGAAAGGAGTGGGCTTTTTCAGTGAATACCATAAAGTTGACTTAGGACCTTTACATTTCAAGCTCACTGCAGACCAGGAGGATAAATAATTGTAGACAGACCATGTGTATTCTTTCAATGTTTCATATTTTTGCACAGGTCCAAGATGACCTTCAGGAATTAAAGGAGAAACTAACAAAATTCCCATGTGAAGAAGAAGGAAAGACGCTAGATATTCAGAATCTTGAAGCAGCGATCCGAAGGACGGAAATGGGATTAAAAGTAAGCAAACTTCAGGTATTAAATAAATCCTTAAAGAAGACAAGCCTTTAAAAAAAAAAAAAGATTTGTGGTTGCTGGAGGACCCTGTATAATTCTGTAGCACAGTGGGACTTGAGGGTGGCCATTTGCCTCCATGTTTTCTAAATGCCAGTGATCACGACCTGATCGATTTATATCATGTTTTATTCCACAAAGAATTTAAGGAGATGAAATACAAGATTCTATAGCCACAAGACCTGAAATTGGTTTAATAAGTAACATGAGCTTGAAAAGTAATCACTTCTAATACAACAATACGCAATGTGATCAAAGAATGGGGTGAATGTTTGAACTTTTAAAAAATATATTACAGGGGCTGGTGAGATGGCTCAGTGGTCTAAAGCACCTACTTAAAACAAGCTCAGCAAAGCACAGGGACTGCGGTTCAATCCCTCAGCACCACATGCCAGCCAGCCCCGCCCCCTGGTGGGCTGAGCTGGCCACACACACACACACACACACATTAAAAAAAATAATAAAAAAAATATATATATATATTACAGCAAAAGACACATTGTCATTTGTTCTCCTTGCTTCAAACACATGTACCACATCATTCTTGCCACTTTCCAAAACAGTCCTGGAAGTCCTCTTCTGGGAGTGTCTTTAGTGGCGCTGTCATGGCTGCCTTTATATCCTGGATCAATTCAAAGTATTTATCTTTCATGGCTGTTTTGACTTTGGGGAAGAGCTAAAAGTTGCACAGTACTAGATGAAATGAACACAATCCAACAAGTAAGGTGGGCGAGGGCATACTGTAATCTTCGTATGAGCCTGCCTTTCTGTGGGGTGATGTTTAGCAGGAGCATCCACTCTGTCATTCACTGGTTTGGAGGGGTTTTTTTGTTTTTTGAGACAGGCCCCTGAACTAATGCCCAGGCTGGCCTCAATCTTGTGTCAATCCTGTCTCAGCCTCCTGAGTGCTGGGAATTCACTGTATTATTTTTAATCTTACTTTATAAAGACACAAAAGAAGACTTCCAGAGCTGCTTCACAAAATGGCTAAGAAATAAGTATCTCAATGAGAGGGGAAGTTAGCAAAAATGTGTCCTTTAATAAATTTTAAATTTTAAACACACACCAGATTTTTCAATCAGACCTCATTTGCCTCAACCAAAAGGGATTCCTACCAATACAATGCAGATTTTCTGGATTTACTAGGATTCTAGAAAATAAGAGGTGACTTTTCTGTACTAGCTTAAGTATTTCAAACTTTTTCATTTTTTGTAATGTTGTAATCAAGTGGGTAAAACTAAAGAAATGGACCAATTCTTTAGATTGAAGCAGTTAGGGATATCGCATTATAAACAGTCCTAAGAGGAGAGGAGAATCCAATGCATTCACTTATGAAATTAGCAAGTATTAGCTAAGAGGTGCCCTTCTTCCAAATAAGGTCCATCCTCTAGGCCTGTAGTTTCCATACCTTAGACCTTCACCCTCCTATGTAACCAGCTTCAGCTTCGGCGCTGGCTCACAAGGCTGTGAAGAACGTGTGTTTCCTTTCGCTCCACCACACTGACACATCATTGTCCTACATTACCTGATGGCGAGAGGGCCGGACCCAGCTGGACTCTTCGGGTTGGCCACTGTGAATTATCTGTTACCTGGAGGCCAGATGCTTTCCTCAGTCGCTTGCTCCAAGTCCCCAGGAGAGACAGACACTACTCCTTGTCTGTATTGCCTCGTGGATTTACCTGGCTAAGCAATTTGCCGACTGTTGTGCACAGTTTGATTTGCAAAGAACGCCACAGGTCCCTCAAGGTCTGAGTCTTAGTTGTTTACTCTGCCTTTTTGGGAGAGTTGAAGTAATTTGGCCTTCCGAGGCCTGATGATCCCTTAGGCATGTAATAACACGTAGCATGTCGTGTTTTTTGCCTTAATTACACAATTTGGAGTGTTAACCTAATAAAATGAACGAACCGATTTTCTTTAGTCCACCATAATGGCCTAAGCTTTGACTTTTCTGTAACAGATCCACCTTCGGAAGTATTTAGATGTTGTAAACCATCATGTGTTAATGACTACTGTTGATGAGAGTTTATATTCTCCTGAAGCATCAAAATGGTAAGTAAAATAGCCATTGCAGAACCCCAACAAAATAGTAACTTCTCTCTCACATGAGAGAATTATATAGGTAAAATTTTCCTATGTTTTTATCCATTCAACTAATTTCAGTAAAGTATTGCATACAAATTAATGATCTGTAATTATAGGTTCCTCCTATTGAGTTCTAATGCTTGATTCCATGACAGTTATCTTAGGGTCCGGGTTTCGGTGTTACAGCTTAGTTTTGTTACTTTTTAGTGAAAGGCTTTCAAAATTCAACTCATCAAGGGAACATTTGAAATCAGTGTTTATGCTACTTAGATTGTTTCTAGAATGCTTTATTGTAAGCCCAAGAAATAGACCTTGTTAGAAATATTCATTATGTAATCATGCCCTGAGAGATGATTTATTGACGTTGGAATTGAGTTTAAAAGAAATGGTCTGCGTCAACCTGGCCTCCTTACATACAGGCCTCCCAGTGAATGAAGCTAGGTTATGCTTGCATTTGAAGTTTACAAACTTGTGGCTTTTAATTGTGTTTTACATATGTATCCAGCATAAGTGAATAACATGGGTCAGCAAGGTCAAGTTTCCGAACTAGTGCTCTGGAACTGATAGGAAGCTGTAGACTTAGCCCAGTCCCAGAACTCAGTGGTAGGGAGCAGAGCTTTGAATGTACATCACACCTGGCTCCCTCAGCTCGAGGAAGGCAGTGCCACAGGCACATAGGGAGAGGCAGCTCTTCTCTGGTCTCCCTATTTCTCCCAGGGCCCCCTTGCAGTCATAAACCCCTCTCAGGCTATTCTGCACTATCAGTGTCATTCCTATGCCTAGGTGGGCCTTATTCCAGTTATCAATTGTTTTGTGTCCAAGTACCCAAAACTTAGTGGCTTAGAATAACAAACCTTGGTTATCTCAGTTTCTGTCCTCAGGAATCTGAGCCCACTTAGCTAAGTCCTCTGGTTCAAGGTCTCTCCCAAGCCCACACCCTGAGCGCTGGCTTGGGGAGGCACCTCTGAGGAGTTGACAGGGGGCTGGGAGGGTGGGAGCTGAAGGTGGGAAGTGATCTGCTTCCAAGCTCACTCGCGGTTTCTGGCAGGACTTGGGTCTTTCTTAGGGTGTCTCAGTGTTCCCACAGCACGGCAGCTAGCAACCCAGAGATGGAAGTCATATCCTTCTGCCCTTTCCCTTCTACTCTCTTCTGTTGGTTGGTTCAAAAGAAGTCAGTAGGTTTACCCCACACTCTTGGGGGAAGGATTACACAAGGGAAGGAATATGAGTGTGTGTGTGTGTGTGTGTGTGTGTGTACATGTGCATGTGACCACTGGGGATCCATGAGGCCACTTTCCACGATGCTTCTGTGTATATCTTCATGATCCGGTCCCCACCAGCTTCTTTGTTGAGCTTTCCCAAACTATATTTAATCTTCATGGCTTTAACAGCAAGGAGGCCAGGGAAGAAATAGGGAGACCAGGAAAGGGTTGGCTATGCACCTTACTTGGCATAGCTCCTGAACTATCTTATATTGGTAGTGACTTTTCATTGCCCTGGAGGCAGTGACCAAAGCGTACAAGTCTTAGCCATTCTGGCTCGCTGTAACAACTGGCACACAGCAAGACCCGGATAAATGTTTGCTCTTGATTATGCTTCATCCTTTCCATGGGTAGTCCTTGTTGTGGTTTGGAGCCTTAGAAGGGGAAACAATACAGTACAGGACACAGTTTATAATGAATCACCCAAAGAATCATATACAAAATGCAGGAAATCCATCCACACACTAAAGACCAAAGTATCCGGCTGAGAGCCTGGATCCTGATATCCTGCATGAGTCCAGCTGAAGACCTACAGCTCATAACAGTGCCTCCCACAAGTCCAATTGGAGGCCTGGAGCCCATGACAGTGTCCCGTGGAGGCCCGCTTCATGGATCTTTGCTGGAAAGGCCCAAAGGTCAGCGGTGGAAGCTAGAAAGTCTATGCCAGCGAGATGAACGATCTGTCCTAACAGGCCAAGGGATCTGAACTGGAGCCAGGAAGCAACGCTCAAGGTGAGCCCCAGAGCTCTCCCAGTGACAACCAGGTTCTAAGCTCCTCCGACAATGAGGACAGCCAAGCTCATGTCAGAAAAGCCAGCAAAATGTGCCACTTGAAGAAAAAAACAATAGCACCCATTCTGCCTGTCTGGTTCTCCTGTTATGCTGTTGGTTGGCGACAGTCCTCGGGTGGGCCTCCTACCCCCAGCACCTTGCTAGTTCAGTTCAGCTGGGTGTAACAAGTTTACCACCCATCAACAATTCACTAGAGTACTTAAACTATATATATCCATATTAACTCATTTGATCCTTGAAATATTTATTTCATAGGCTGCATAGGTATTATCCTCATTTTTATGAATACATCAAATGAAGTCATAGAGGTTAGAACACTTGATGAAAACCTTAGTCATTCTCTCACATGTCAGTGCTCCTTTCCTAATTGAAGTCCTCCTTGCACGTATTAGTAATTAGCCACAGCCGAAGGACTACATGCTGAGGTAGAGAGATAGAAAAGGACGATCTGCACTCGGTACCTTTCTATCTTGGAGGAGGCTATGAGTAATTAAGCGGTGCTTTCCTGCTCAGAAACAGGAGAAAGGTCACTGCAGCAGGCCAGGCATCAGCTGGGAATCCACAGAAGCTGATGAGAAGGTCCCAATGATGAGGGCATCGTGACACAGGACTATTATTTGTCCTTGGTAGTTCTATCTTTGTAGTACCTGATACCGCAGCTCTCCACCAACTTCTGGGTAGATGATGAATCTGTAAACCCATTTTCTTCCCTTCCCCTGCTTTTTATGTTAGCATCCTGAATTAGACCAATTAGAACAGTGGCAATGAACCTATGGCTCATGTGCTGCAGTGGGCCATTTGTTGTCATTGAAAACTGAAAGTTTCACCATCACTGAATTAGAGATCTGGAAACTTCCTAACACCTTGTCCTGAATGGACCTGAAGATCTTCAGTCTTTCCTTCTAATTTGTTTTTAAAAACACCCTTGTTCTTGATGATGCACACCTATAGTCCCAGCACTCTAGAAGGCTGAAGCAGGAGGGTCCCAAGTTTAAACTCAGCCTGGGCAACTTAGTGACTTAGTAAGACCCTGTATTGAAGTGAAAAGCAAACAGGGCTAGGGATGTAGCTAAGAGTGGAGGTCCTGGATTCTATCCCTAGTACTACAAAAAGAAAAGTAAGTAAAAACAACAACAACAACCTAATATTGAATCAATTGTGTAAGATCACATGCCCCCCCAAATCTGTAAGAATGTGAGTGAAATTCAATCTTCCTTTTCTAAATTCAGCATATGTTCTGTCATGCTAATGAAAGACAGTGTATTGCTATTTGCAAATTATTTTCAATATTTTTAAATTCTTAAAAATATCATGATAGACCAGCCAGATAGCCTCTCCCCCAGGGCATGCTGAGGTAGCTATTGAGACTGTACATGGTGGTGTTCTCCTGTAAGCCTAGTGCTTGGAGGCAGGCTGGAAAGAGGAGAATCACTGTGAGTCTGATCTATGTAGTTAGTGAAACTCTGTAGAGCCTGTATACCCTGTACTTAAAAAAAAAAAAAAAGCATAAGAAAAAATATCATGATAAGTCTAACTAAAGTTTCAAAAGTATCCTCCTGACTTGAGGCATTTAGTGACAAACAACATGCTAGTCTATACTGATGAAGTGATTAGTGCTGAAATTCTTGAGATGTATATGACTGTAATCAGTATTTTCGGCCACATCAATAGTGTGCCTTTGTATAAACTAGGGAGATTCTGCCACCCTATTGCTATATCAGGTTAGAGTAAGCTTTTGTGTTAGGACTGAACCAGGACTGGAACTTGGCAATCAGGATGACAGGAACTGCCAATGTCTGCTCAAGCATGGGCCCAACTGTCCTAAGGTAGCAGCTTCTTCAGGAAGGGGATCATTGTAAGAAGGACTGTGGGTCCCTGTTGCTCCTTTGGCAACAGCGCACAGTTCTGAGTAACCGAGAATCAGCAATGCTCAGGACATAGGAGGTTTCACTCTTCCTGTGGGTTCCAAGGACTCTGGAAGAGTTCATTCCAAGTGACTGCTACACCCAGGGACACCTACAAAATGATTCAGAACCATGTAAAATCATTTTTAGTAGCAGCAGCAGTAGCAGCAGCAGCAACTGAACTGCTATCACTATTTTGGTAACATCCGTTGGCAAAAGACTTTTTGAAAAAATCTATGAGAGCTGTATGCACCTGATGAGGAAACCAAGGCTTAGATGCACCAGTCCCGGGTTACACAGGTAGTCAGGGGCAAGGCCCAGACTCAAGTCCCGATCCTACATCTGTGGTCTGGTACTCAGCTCCCTCTCCATGGCTACCTGAAAACCAGAAGCCCACTTTTCACAAAGATGATTTTTCCTTTCCTGGCGAGTATTGCTCAAGGAAAAATCTGGTAGTTTAATAGGCAGAAATAAAAAAAAAAACAGTAGGTACATAAAGTGACAATAATGGTTGCCAGGCAAATGCAAGGTTTTCCTAGCAGTCATTCCAAAAACATTGATGAAGGTATTACCCAAAGTAGCATGTTTTCTCCAAGCAGCTCAAAGTGCTTTTGTATTTTCAAAATAGGTTTCACTATGATCCCCTCTTTGGCCGTGATTCTTCTTCGTGCCGGAATATGCTCTTCCTCCTGTCATTGCTGGCTTTCACAGATCACAGGGCTTGTGATATCTGCTCATACTGTTCTTAATGACCAGGCTCTGCTAACTGACACTAGGAGGGTGGCTGCCATCTGTACCCGCGCTCTCAGAGCTGCGCAGAAGTCTTCACTTTGTACTCAGTGGTGTGTGTGTGTGTGTGTGTGTGTGTGTGTGTGTGTATGTGTAACAAAGCAAATAAATAATGGTGAGAAACAGTGAGAGGAAGAGAGCTTTCTGTTGAATGGTGAAAGTAGATTAGAAGGTACAGGACACAGTCACGTAATCATTAAGGCACCTTGAGGCCAGTCTATTCAGGATTGTCCCATGCGGTTCATAGAGGTCAGCAGTATGGAATCTGACTTCATCCTAGCCCCCAAACACACACATGTGCACACATGCACGCGCGCACGCATGCACACACACACACACACACACACACACACACACACACAGAGGAGAGCAGTGGTAGAGAAAGACGGAAACAAGTTGCTTCCCCTTGCAACGCTCCATGAGGGCCACTTGGATTCTCACCATGTTTCCATGGGCTTGGCCCTTTTTAAAACAAAAAATAATTCTTAAGGCAGCATTGTACAATGAGAAAGTAGCAAAGCAGAGAAAACCCACTTACAACATATGTGTCACCAAAAGTGTGATTATCGCATCCTTCAATAAAAAGAACAAGAACCTGACACAGGCAGACGGGCATCAGGCTACTCATAGAGAAATACAAATAAAAGTAATGAAATAAATGGGTGAAAAATGTTTACTGTTCCTGGTAGCTGATAACAGACATGAAACAGATAAATATTTACTCTCTGGTAAACCAGAAAAATTGAGTTAAACAACATATCTCTGCTTTTGTCTGTTCATTTGTTTTTTACAAATGAGCAAAACAAGTCACTTAAGCGGCCATGACATTAAGTGCTGATGTGGAACACCACAGGGGAGGGTGTACTTTTATTTTTATCTATTTTAGTGAAATAGAGTAGCATAAAGGTCCTAAAAGCGATTTTTCAACATGAAAAGACTTTTAAAATTATTATTATTATTATTATTATTATTATTATTATTATTATTTTGCGGAACTGGGGATTGAACTCAGACCCTTTTGCTTGCCAGGGAAGCGCGAATTCCACTGAGCCATCTCCGCGGCCCCTTAAGATTATTTTTTAATTTAGCAATTGTAGCTCTGGGAATTATCCTAGGAAATAAAGACAGCGATATGTGAATCTCGGGAAGTATGTTCATTTTAGCAGTATATCTAATAGCAATAAATTTGCAAATACCTTAAGTGGCAACAGTAAAATGATTTAACCCATGATAACTCGTCTGTGTGTGTATAGTGTTGCTACTGAAGCTGGTGTGGTTGAAGAAATTTTGATAACATTGGTATATAATCACTTATATGCTGGAGCACAGAGAAGGATATTCAATTATATCTCCATTCCATTCTCAACCTCTAAATTCACTTCTAAACATAATTCCCGGGGGTGCAAGGGCTTGAGTACTGCACCAGGAGACTTTTACTCCTGGCAAAATGGTGTAGCTATTAGGTACAGTAGCACAGAGTCTCCTATGCTTCCAGCTAAGGCCAACTAGAAACCTTATGCATTGTATAGAAAATAAAGATAAAACAGGGCACGGTGGCACCCGCCTACAATCCCAGCAGAGGCTGAGGCAGGAGGAGTGCAGGCTTGAGTCACACCTAGGCAGGTAGCAAGACCTCTCCATGTAAAAAAAATAAAATAAAATAAAGAGGCAGGGAGATGTAGCGCTGTGATAGAGTAACCTGGATTCCAACACCAGACAAACATCCTGAAGGGGAGGCTGCAAGTGGGGAGAAGGCAGACTACCTAGACTTTGGGGCACATAATAGGGTGCAGAGTTCCTTGGCTTTTCCTTGACAGTTCCTCACCTGGCCCGTAATTTTTAAAAAAGTTTTATTTATTGATACAGGATCTTGCTGCGCAGCTCAGACCCATGGTGATCATCCTGTCTCAGCCTCCCCAGCGCTGGGATTGCAGGCGTGTGTCACCATGCCTGGTTTCAGGGCCTGCACTGCGTGCCTGGAGTTCCAGGGCCAGCACAGCATGCGGCACTCGGGATGAACCAGGATTCTTGGCGCTTATGAGGCAGGCGCTTAGACCGCCGAGCTATCTTCCCAGCCCTTAAACATTTCTGGAATACAGGCTTCTGACAACAGACTCACTTAGCTCTTGTTTGCTTGAGGATGCTCTTATTTCCTTTTCTCCTTTGGAGAATAACTTTGGAGGCATAGAATTCCATGTTGGCAACTTTTTTCTTCATGCATTTTCTTTCTTTTTTTTTTTTTTTTTTTTTGGTGGAACCGGGGATTGAACTCAGGTCCTTGCGCTTGCCAGGGAAGCGCTTATTCCACTGAGCCATCTCCCTGGCCTCTTCATACATTTGCAAGTTGTGATCCCCTCTTCTTGCTCATGTGGCCTGTGAAGTCCCACTTAATTCTCACGCTTGTTTTTTAGTGTCTTTAATATCTTTATGTCTCATCCCTGTTTCCCCTGAAAGTTTCTTGCAGGACCATCTTTGCTTTACTCCAGTTGAAAGGCGATATGGCGATGGTGGGTGTAATCTTGGGCATTTATGCTGGTTGGTGTTCTCCAAGATGCCTGGGCCTGTGGCTTGGTGTCTGTCACTAATTTTGGAAAATTCTCAGTCATTATCATCTGAGTATTTTTGTGTGTCTCTGTTCCTTTCTTCTTTTTCTGGTGTTCGCATCATGTGTATGTTGTACTGTTTGTAACAGTGCGGTGGCCCTTGGATATTCTATTCTATTTCATTCCTTTTTTTCCCTTGGTGTTACAGTTTGGGGGGGTTCTTCTGGTATTTCTTCAGACATACTGATCCTTTCTTTGCCTGTGTCCCAAAGGCATTCTTCATTTCTTGCACAGTGTTTTTGATTTCTAACATTTCTTTTTGATTTTTAGATCGTAAGAACATGTACTTATATTACCCAGCTCTTCTAGAAGTTGTCTAATTTTTCTCTTAGATTCCTTAACATATTCATCTTAATCATGTCAAGTTCCTGCTATAGTGTTTTCAGAAGTTCTGCCAAGGCCAAGCAGATGCCTGCTTTGTCTCTTCAGACTCTTCTTCCTTGTCTTGTTCGCATGTCCCGTGATAATCTTTTTGTTGAAAGCTAACAGAGCAGGCCTTTATTGTGAAGGCTTATGTTTATCTGGCTAGGACTTTTGCTGCTTGCTGGGGTTGCAAGCGTAGAAGTTTGATCCTTCAGTTTCCTCTAGTGTCTTTGTTTCTGCCTCCCTTCGGTCTTCCCATTTCCCCTAGAAATTCCTTCTAAAACAGAGTCTGAACCTTGCTGTTTTTTTAAATCCGCAGTCTTGTATTTTACCAGGGCTCTGAGCTTGTGGTGGTAAGTGCATGTATGGGTGTGTGAAGGGGAAGCAGGTTCCACCCCTAAGGTCAAAGTGGCAGGCTTTGGGTGGCTCTGTGTCCCCGGGCTGTTACCTTCCTAAGTTTTCTCAGGTTCCCCTGGCATCTTCATCTTAGGTGAGACAGGCTGGCCAGGGGGAGCTAGAGTTGACCAGTCACCCTTCCTCAGGCCATGGTAGGCTTTGGTAAAGTACTTTTCCTTCAAAACCCCCCCTTCATTACAGAGACCACAGCAAAGAACGGAACTCTGGGCAGATCTCAAGCTAGTTGCTTCCCCTCCCCCTGCTGGAAACCAGAGAGAGGCTTTTTCTCTGACCTTCCTGGTGAGAACAAAGAGAGGCTTCCGAGGGACCACCCAGGACCCAGCCGTTCAGAGCTGTAACTCCCAAGCAAGCCTCTGCTGAGTGGTGGCAGCCTGCCAGTGAGCCAGCGCTGCTCCACAGCCAGCGCTGCTCCACAGCCAGCTTCTGCTGGCTCTAGTTGGGATTCTTGGAATCCCTGTCTCTGCAGTTTCCAGGGCAGCGTTTTGCCCTGTGATCTTGATTCTCTAGTGGATACAGGATTCGTCGGGTTTGCCTTTTTCTTGTTAAAAGGAAGGGCATGACATGTTCAACCTCTACCTGTTGATGGGAAAGCAGGAGTCTATAAGTTGGTTTTTTAATGATGATTTTACAGAAGAGGTCATCACAGTAGAATCAAGGTAGTGAGTGATATTGCTGGTTGAATTTTATTCACTTTAATTATGTTGAGCACATAAGAGTCGTTGAACTTGCTCTTAAATTGAAAACTTCAGGATACAATCTGACACACACAGATCCATTCTTACAGTTTTATTTTGTTCTTACAATGTTTTTTTTCCTGTGGATCTGTCTACTGCTTAATAATGAAAATCTTTAACGAACTTTGAAATTTAAATCTTTGCAATTATATGAAATAGCAGAGATTTAAATAATGTAAGTGATAAATGCTTAGACCGTTTTGAATAGTTTTAACATTGGCTATCATATAATTTGATTTTATTAAATGAAATAGAATGTTATGTATTCTTCTCTACCAAGAAATGCTTTATATTGTGCTAATTCTGTCCATTTTAGCTACATAAACTCAGTCAGTAATAGTGCTTTTCATTTATGCTGTAATGGTCTTTGTCAAACTTAGAAGCTCTTATGCTTAATAAAATAACCATAGTTTTACAGTGGTAAAAATGCTAAAAATTAACCTAATAGTGTGTTTTATTAGTCCAATAGTATGTTTTCTATAAAATTTCATATTAACTAAGAAACAGTATTCTAAAATTATAATTTGAGGCACTTTAAAGATTACAAATTTGATTTTAAATTCTGTATCTTTTTATTTAGGTTGTTTCCAACTGTAATTGACCAGAAGTCATTTGTTTTTCCCTTGGAACCTGAGACAAAACTTTGGCGACTCCCAAAGCAGCACTCCTCACTTCCACGGGCCTTCCCAAGAGTAAAGGTAGGGCCTGAGATGCCCGTGGTGACGCAGTGGTGATTGCTGGGGCCTTGGAGGAGGGAGACAGGAGTGGTGCCTTGTGTTCAATAGGAAGTTTCTTTTGGGGATGATAAGAATGTTCTGGAATTGTACAGTGGTGGTGGCTAACAACTTTGGGAATAAACTAAATACCACTAACTTGTACAGTTCTAAAAGGAGAAATGTATTGCAGATGGCATATATTGGATCTATCTATCTATCTATATTTATATCTATATCTATCTATCTATCTATCTATCTATCACAATATTAGTCAGCTTTTCTGTCTCTGGGGCAAAGCATCTGCCACCTGCAGTTTATTTAGAGAAGCCACTTTTTACTTTTTTGTTTGTTTTGCTTCTGCATTTAGGACAGGGTCTACAGGGTCTCATTACACAGATTGGACTCATAGTGATTCTCCTGTTTTCAGCTTTCCAAGCGCTGGGATTATAGGTGCACACTACCACACCCAGTGTCAATCGCCACCTCAGCACACCCCTTGGGTGGAGCCAGCATGGCACGCTGGGGATCGAACCCTGGCCACTGCGCTCTGCCTGAGCAGCCGCCTGCAGTTTAAAGGAGGATTTATTGGGCTTGCAGTTTGGGTGGGTGCAGTCCATGGCTTGCCAGTTCCAGGCCTAAGCAGCATGGCTGAAGGGCCTGGTGGCTGCTAACATGGCAGCCAGGAAGTAGAGAAACAGGAGAGGCACAAGGGCACGAGTGTATCCTTTAGGTTACGCCCACAGTCACACCCCTCTTTCAGTTAGTAACCACCTCCAGACAGCACATTTAGCTCTGACCTCTTCAACTTCACCAACTGACTGATGACTATAGTGTCCCTCCATTCAGTCACCTTCCAGTATGTAAGATTTGGGGATATACTTTAGATCTAAACCATAACACTTAGAAATGCATCAAGAGGGCTGGCAAGATAGCTCAGCAGACCAAAGCACCTTCTCAGGGAAGCTTAGGCAAGCGCAGGGACTGCAGTTCAATCCCTGGCACCACATGCTGTGCCAGTCCTGCTCCCAGGGCAGGCTGAGCCAGCCAGAGTCTGGTTGTAGTGGTACACGCCTGTAATCTCAGCGCTGGGGAGGCTGAAAACAGGAGGATCACTATGAGTTTGAGCTATGTAATCAGACCCTGAAGCAACCAAATACATTTAAAAAATACAATAAAGTAAAATATATGAAGAATAAAGATAGAATATTGCATTATGTTCTACAGTAGAAAGCATAATGTACATACATACAGGTATGTTTCTGCAATTTCATGTTATTATTGATTCATATATGTTCATGGCAGTTTTGTTCCAAGAGCAAAATTAATCAATGCATAATGCATTTGAAATTTTTAAGCAGAGTACCCTGGGTTTCCAAAAGGGAAAGAAACAGAGCTCAGGAGTTTTCAGACTTTGCCTGTTTTGTGTTTGCTCATCTTGTCTCTTGTTCCCTGTCTTAGTCTCAGCTGAGGCTGTTCTCACAGACTACCTCAGATGCCCACCACAGTTCCTCACTGCTCTGGAGGCCATGAGTCTATGATTAAGGTTCTGGCTGATCTGGTATCTGGTGAGGGTGCTCTCCCTTGTGTGTGAAAGCCTTGTTCTTCTATGTAGGTGAGGGAGAGAGAGAGGAAAAGGGACAATGGGAGAGAGAGAGAGAGAGAAAGAGATAGAGAAACAGAGACAGAAACAGACAGAGACAGACAGACACAGAGAGACAGAGACAGAGAGAGACAGACAGACAGACAGACAGAGTCAGAGAGAGAGAGACAGAGACAGAGAGAGAGGCTTTTTTGCCCTGTTATAAGGACACTAGTCTCACGCATGAGAATTACACATGGGTAACCTAATTCCCTCCTAAAGTCCACTCCTCCCAATACCATCACATCACGGCTTAAGATCTTAACATGGCTTTTGGGAGGGAGCACATTTGCCACCATAAGCCTCTGACTTCTCCAAAGTAGATAGCAGCTCACCTCTTTGGAGACCACGTCCCATCACCATTGCTTTGAAAAGATCAACTTGCTTAGCCTTCAGAACAATCCTGAAAGGAGGCGTTATTACTTTTATTGGTGAAGAGACTGAAGTAGTTCTTGCAAGGTGTTAAATAAGCTGTCCAAGAGAGCACAACTAGTAAATGTTCAAGCCAGGGTTATGAATCCAGAAATGCGGATCCAAAGCTGTGATCGTCATCTACTATCACATTCTGTCTTTAAATAGCCGTTCGTTATGCGTTGTGCCTAGCGGTGCCCCACAGCCTCTTGCAGTCACTGGGGCGGCTTCTAGAGTTTGTGATTAGCGCAGGATCCAGTGCTGAGGTCAAGGGTGTGAGTGCTACACTCGCCCTGGGGCAGATAATCTGCATTACAGTGTGGGAAGGGGAAGGAAGCCCACCAGCAGCCTCCGCTGCTGCCCCTGCCTGTGCTCTTTGCTGTTTTCCACCACCATGAACAGCTGCCCTCTGCCTTGCGGCACCCTGCCTTGGAGCCAGCCGAGTACGGACTGAAACCTCCACTAACTGCGAGCTAAATAAACCTTTCCTTCCTTCATTTTGAGTGTCGAGTACTTTGTGCCAGCAACGAGAGAAATGTAACCAAGACACAACTGTGCTGAGATATAAATATACCTGCCCTGAAATTCACCTTTTTAAAGTGTTCCATTTCTTCCACTCGCAGAGTCACTTGGCCATCGTGTGATACTCTTCTTTATAATTGCTTATACTGCTTCGTATTTTTCCTTCATCACACTTGCCACGATTTGTGATTATTTATTTATTTTGTATTTTACGGCAGGGTCTCCAAGGTCTCACTGTGTAGACTGGACTTGTAGCGATCCTCCTGTTTACAGCCTCCCAAGAGCTGGGATTACAGGTGTGCACCACCACGCCCAGTCTCAATTGTTGTCTCACCTCGCCCTGGGGGCGGGGCTGGCACGGCAGGCCCAGGGATCAAACTCTCAGCCCCTGCGCGTAATTAGATAGTGTGCTGTGTGATTTGAAAAAAAAATCTGTCACCCCATGGGATTATAAACTTGATGAGAGTCAGCTCTGTGCCGGTACATTCATTGCTATAGTATGCCAGGGGCCCGCCACAATACTCGTTAAATGAGTAAACGAAGCTGCTGCAGCAACCCGTGAGGGGCACTCCGCCCCACCTAAAAGACCAGACGGTTGCTGCGGACTCACAAGCAGCCTGCTTCTGCCTGCCTTTGCTCTTGTTGTTACCTTGGCTGAAGGTCTGTGTGCCTGTGAGTCCCAGAGCTGGTCAGAAGTGTGCGGAGACAGGCGAGGCAGCTGTGTCCTCACCCCTCACGGTGCTCTCCTAGTGGGGGAGCAAGAGAACGCTAGTTAATCACAGAGGCTCTGATGAAGATAACGCAGAGTGCTGTGGCATAGAAAGCGTAGCTTCCTGTCTTCCTTACTGTGGTGGAGCGCTCCCAATTACTGTTTCATTTCTTTACCAAAGAGAATCACACTTGGCCTACAAGACCAGGAATTGGGGGAACAGCGAAACAGAACACCTGAAATTAGGACCATTGTAGAATCTATAGTCGCTATTACCACTACTCCCCCTCCCCCAATAAACTTCAGCCAGACATTTATTTTCTCCAGAGTTTTGAATGCTGGCAAAAGATCATGAAGCTCAGGAAACAGACATGCTGCTGAGGTGACCCTGGGCTCTGTTAAATGCCGTGAACATGGTTGAGCCCCATTTAGGGAGGGGCACGGGCCATTTCCCACCTGGACTTCACTCCAGGGCCTGGGTTCCTATTGTTACTTTACCCCTAGTGTTGGTGACATCTGCTTAAAAATGCATATCTGCTGACACAAAAGATAGCTCTAATTTTTATTGTAAAGTCATCGACAGACAGTGCTGTTTTGCCAGCTGTTACGCGTGCCTGCTACACCAACATAAAGGCTGGTATTATTAAGCAGTTGTGAAATCCAACTGGGATATTACTACCTTTAATCGCTCCCTTTCAACCTTTTAAACTAGGTAAACCACAGTTGCTTCTTTAAATTCTCTTTCTTCAAAAACAGAGAGCTGTTTTTGGAATTCCAATTTATAACAGAAAACTTAAATGACAATTAGGTGTTGCGCAGTTGTAATTAAGAATTGTTTATTAAGCTCTGTTTAACTTTGAAAAAAAAAAAACAACAACCAGTCAGCTTTGTCTTAGTTGAGATGAACCTTTCACTTTCTGAAGATCGCCTTTTAGAAAAACAGTAAAATTGGAAGAGTAAAATTGTAAGATAAAATCCTGTTTCTTGGGGATTTGCAGATAACTGTATGTAAATTCGCATAGTCTCTCTTTTTGCTTATTAAAATACTCATTCTTAAAATTTTTCCTCCTAGTTTTTCAGTGATACCTGGAAACATGAGATGAGGCCAATTGTTTCCTCTCCCAACCTGCCCAATCACATAAGGCAGTCGGTGCTAACTTCAGCTTGACGTCTCCCATACGCCAGCTTGTTGTCTTCCATGTATTTATTTCGTTTGTAATAAAACATAATATAAACACATGTAGACACTGTATATAGAGTTTAGGGTGGTTCTGAATTTTTTGTGTTTACTGAAACATTATATTTCAACTTGCCAAAAATAAAAAAAAAAATCTTTTGTTTACAAATACTATATGTAAAGCTGTGTTCTTACAATTATCACATAAGCTGTATGCATTTCAAAATCAAGAAACTTTGAGAGAAACTATAACTTTGGGATAAAATATAGCTAGGGTGCCATATTTCTTTTCAACTATTGAATTTCTCTAAAAAAGAAAAAAGAGAACATTTTCCCTTTCCTGTTGTTTCCAGGGTTGAGTGTGACAAGCCCAAAGCAAGCGGGACATATTTTGGCTATCTCATGTGTGGTCATCCATGACTAAGAATTCTCCCCGGAGCTGGGTGTGGTGGCAAAAGCCCGTGGTCCCAGCAACACGGGGCACAAAGTCCCCTTCCCTTGTCTTGATTTGGGATAAGAATAAA